AGAGGACCTGGGACCTCAGGGCCCGCATAGGCAAGGAGCAGAGGCAGCATTCCAGCTCAGGGCCCTGACCCCAGAGCCACACCCTTCCCCTGGGCAGGCGGCGCTCCTGTGCCCAGTAGGTGATTTTGAGATTGAGCTGTGCCCTAGGCACTGGGTACAGCCCTGATTAAAACTCAGCCCTCTGCCAGCTGAGGAGGGTCACGCCTGTAATCCCAGCACTTTGGAATGCTGAGGCAGGAGGAGCCCTTGAGCCTAAGAGTTCGAGACCAGCCTGGGCAACATAGGGAGACCTTGTCTCTGTTTTTTTTTTTTTTTAAATGTATTGGCCCGGCGCGGTGGCTCACGCCTGTAATCCCAGCACTTCGGGAGGCCAAGGTGGGCGGATCATGAGGTCAGGAGATCAAGACCATCTTGGCTAACACAGTGAAACCCCGTCTCTACTAAAAATAAAAAAATTAGCTGGGCATGGTGGCAGGCAACTGTAGTCCCAGCTACTCGGGAGGCTGAGGCAGGAGAATGGCGGGAACCCGGGAGGCGGAGCTTGCAGTGAGCCGAGATGGCACCACTGCACTCCAAGCCTGGGCGACAGGGCAAGACTCCGTCTCAAAAAAAAAAAAAATGTATTAAAAGAAATGAAAAACAAAAAACTCAGCTCTCCAGGCGCTCCCACAGGGCTGAACAGACCCACCCCCAGACAAGAATGCCATTTGGTCATGGCATCTGCCTGGCTTAGGCTGGAGAGGAGGCAGGTGGAGGTCCTGGGAGGGGGCATTGCTGGGCCTTGCAGATGGAGGAGGAGCTGGTGGGGGGAGGGGTGGTCCATGGTGGGAGAACACAGGCAGGGGCAGCCTGAGTACAGGGGGCACCCCACGAGGCTCCTGCCCATGCCTACTCGATCTGGGGCAGCTGGACGCAGGAGCCAGATTGCTTATGCTCTTGGTGTGCCTGACCCTGGTGGGTTTGCCCGTCAGTTCTGCTGGCTTGGAACAGCCCCGGAAGTCAGAAGCATCATCTCACAGGCTGGTTGGGATCCTGATCATGGGAACCCAGCCCTGGGGAGCAGGAGTCCCAGCAGGGAGCAGAGCTCACCCGCAGCCAGCATCACCACACAGCCCACCCCCACCGCACAACTGCGCCCACCCCCACCGCACACCTGCGCTTCCCACGGGACCTGGGGATGACTCCTAGGGCAGAACTGGGCTCCTGGCACGTTCTCTGTTCCGATATGAGGAAATGTGTTTGTGGCACCAGCAGCAGCCAGAGAGGGTGGCAGGACAGGCCAGGGAGAGCGCATTGGCAGTTATCTGGGATGAGCCGTGATCAGTACTGGCCGGAGTCTGGGGGCTGCAGGGCACCAGTCCCCTGCAGGGTAGCTGCTGTCAGATCAGACCTGGTTTCCCGCCGCCCCAGGCTGCCTCGCCACGTCCTGACTGTGGCGTCATGAGCCGCGGTATCCCTGGGGCAGCGTCCCCGGCTGGTGGGTGGAGGAGGAGGAAGCCTCGGGCCCCAGCCCCTGTCTGGTTATCCCCCCAGCTCCATCGTCTACCTGGAGATTGACAACCGGCAGTGTGTGCAGGCCTCCTCGCAGTGCTTCCAGAGCGCCACCGACGTGGCCGCCTTCCTGGGGGCGCTCGCCTCGCTGGGCAGCCTCAACATCCCCTACAAGATCGAGGCCGTGCAGAGTGAGTGTGGCTCCTTCTCTGTTCCCCAGCCCAGCATCGGCGGGAACAGGCTCTACCTCCAGGAGATGCCATCCCCTTGTGCCCCAGACACGCTGGTTGGTTGTGCCAGTTGCCACCCACGGGTGTGCGCGTCACTATCCGAGTTGGGGTAGGGCTTTTCTGGAATTTTCTGAATGGCACTCCCTCCCCACCTGTGGCGGTGACAGCTGCTGGTGGAGCCACCCGGGAACGAGTCCAGTCACAGGAAAATGGGTGCCTGCTTCTCTCCCCACCCCTTCCCCCTGAATTTTCTTTGTTGGGTATTATTTCAAAATCATTACGGCTTTTTTTAAAGAAAAAAAAGAGAGAGAGAGAAGAATTGATCGGTGTCATGTGAAGTGTTGAAGTTTGTATCTTGAAAATCCCTCTAAATCCTTTGTCTTAACAGCTCAATGCAAGTGCAGCGATTTGAAGTTGACTAATCCTCCTCCCTTAAAGGAGAAAAAAGTAAAAGCCGTCTCCTGATAGAGTCGGCTGGTGCAGGAGAGAATTTAGCGATAGTTTGCAATTCTGATTAATCGCGTAGAAAATGACCTTATTTTGGGGGGCGGGATGGAGGAGAGTGGGTGAGGAGGCGCCTGGCCGCGGAGCCAGTCCGCTGCCCCCCGGCCACCAGCCTGCTGCGTAGCTGCCGCCTGATGTCCCAGCGCCTGCCCCTGGCCCCTGTGCCCGCAGGTGAGACCGTGGAGCCGCCCCCGCCGGCGCAGCTGCACTTCATGTACGTGGCGGCGGCCGCCTTTGTGCTCCTGTTCTTCGTGGGCTGTGGGGTGCTGCTGTCCCGCAAGCGCCGGCGGCAGCATGGCCAACTCTGGTTCCCTGAGGGCTTCAAGGTGTCTGAGGCCAGCAAGAAGAAGCGGCGGGAGCCCCTCGGCGAGGACTCTGTGGGCCTCAAGTGAGCGGACGCTGCCCCTGCTTCTGGGGCCCCGGGGGGAGGTGGGACCTGGCCGAGCATCCTCACGGGGGGTCTGCCCCTCCTGATGCAGGGCCCACTTCCCACGCCAGGCCTGGGCTAGGGGCCTCTGGGGGCTTCCTAGGGAGCTTGCTCAGCCTCACTTCTCGAACCCTCACCCCCAGGCCCCTGAAGAATGCCTCAGATGGTGCCCTCATGGACGACAACCAGAATGAGTGGGGGGACGAGGACCTGGAGACCAAGAAGTTCCGGGTGAGTCGCAAGGCTCCCGGGCTCCCGGGCTCCTGGGCACCTGCCACCGGGCTGCCCTGACACACCTCTGCTCACTCCTCCTACGTAGTTCGAGGAGCCCGTGGTTCTGCCTGACCTGGACGACCAGACAGACCACCGGCAGTGGACTCAGCAGCACCTGGATGCCGCTGACCTGCGCATGTCTGCCATGGCCCCCACGCCGCCCCAGGGTGAGGTTGACGCCGACTGCATGGACGTCAATGTCCGCGGGCCTGGTAAGGGTGCCAGCAGCCAGGGCTTCCCTAGCTCCGTGGCCCACCTGCCTCTCTCCCCTAAGCCCCGAGGCTGGGGTACGGTTGATACTCTGGAAACTTAGAGTTGGGGGTGAGAGGTTTCATCCTTGGGGTATTTCCCGTTCAGAGTGGATGGGGGGTCCTGGAGTCCTCCTGTTCTTCCATCAACCCTCTCCTGGGGCGATGCCACATGGTCACTATGTCCCTGTAAATTACTCTCTTCTGAAACCTCCTTCTTGAGATATGGAAAGCGTAGATTTTCTTTTTTTTTTTTTTCTTTTTTTGAGACAGAGTCTTGCTCTGTCACCCAGGCTAGAGTGCAGCGGCATGATCTCAGCTCCCCGCAGCCTCCACCTCTTGGGTTCAAGCAATTCTCCTGCCTCAGCCTCCCAAGTAGCTGGGATTACAGGCACCCACCACCACGCCCAGCTACTTTTTGTATTTTTAGTAGAGACGGGGTTTCACCACGTTGGCCAGGCTGGTCTCGAACTCCTGATCTCAGGGGATCCGCCTGCCTCAGCCTCCCACAGTGCTGCAGCTATAGCGTGAGCCACTGCGCCCAGCCAAAGCGTTGATTTTCTAACTGCATGTTTCTGGTGTCATCTTTTTCCTGGGTGGATTTTGGGTGCCTGGTCTTGGGCAGGTCAGGAAGCAGTTGCCCGTCAGGAGTTGACTGCTGGACTCAGCTCTGTCCACTGAGCAGCCCAGGCGGACTTCAGCTGCCCCTTGGTGGCTGTGTGGTGCATCTACACTGTGGCCCATTGAGCTCAGGGCTGCTGCCCCCCTCCCCCTGGGCTGCAGCTGGGGACCAGCCCTCCAGACTGAGCATCCGTCTCTGCCCCTGCAGACGGCTTCACCCCCCTCATGATCGCCTCCTGCAGTGGGGGCGGCCTGGAGACGGGCAACAGCGAGGAGGAGGAGGACGCGCCGGCCGTCATCTCCGACTTCATCTACCAGGGCGCCAGCCTGCACAACCAGACCGACCGCACGGGCGAGACCGCCTTACACCTGGCTGCCCGCTACTCACGCTCTGATGCCGCCAAGCGCCTGCTGGAGGCCAGCGCAGACGCCAACATCCAGGACAACATGGGCCGCACCCCGCTGCACGCAGCTGTGTCTGCCGACGCACAAGGTGTCTTCCAGGTAGGCAGCAGCTGCCTGTGTGCCCACCTGCCCTCCTCAGGGCACCGGGTGGTCCGGGACAGTGGCCAGGCTTACGTAGCCATGGGAGCCTGACCCCGAGCACAGCTGAGTCCAGGACAGCTGGTGCCTCCACCCAGGACCTTTGCAGTCAGCGAGGTGCGACGGGAGGGGGCGGGGTCAGGCGCATCTGTGTTCTCCAGGGGAGCCAGGCAGAGGCGGGTCTGGCAGGAGGCCTGGGGGACCTGCTGAGTGAGGCAGCGCCTGCCCACCCCCCGCAAGACAGGCTCCATCAGGGTTGTGGGCCTTGCTCAAGATCCAGGTCCCACCGCTGCAGCCCCTCGCGGCCCCACCCCTCCCCCAACCCTGGCTGCCGGCGTAGCCTGTGGCAGTGAGAAGAAGGGTTTAGAGGCTGCTGCTTGGTGCCTGCAGACCTAGGGTTCAGCTTGCCAGTGAGCTCGTGGCAAGAAATGGATTTACGGATTTGGATGCCTGGGTCTCCGGGGAATGTCCCTGGCAGGGACTGCCTTTGCAGTCACCCCTGCTGTGAGTCCCCAGGCTCCAGGCAGCCCTAGAGCAGGTTCAGATGGGCACAGCCCAGGAGAGTTACCACAGAGCTTCTCGTTTCATGATTTCTTAGCTCAGACACGTCATCATTCTGCAGAAATAAATGTAGGTGAGCGGAAGGAGCATCGAAGGGAGCCCCGTGTGGGTTTGCTGTGTGCCTCTCTCAGCCGCCTTCTTTGCACAGATGTGGAAGTTCCCAGGTGCTTTGCAGGAATCAGGCCAGTGCTGCATGGCACTTGGCCCCTGCCTTTTGCACCCGCCAGGGAGCAGGGGCCATCCTTCCTGCCAGAGGCCAAGGCCAGGCTGCATTACAAGGGCTGCCTACTACCGCTCTCGGGGCAGAGCTGGACACTGTAGCTCAGCGGTTCTGTGACGGCTGTAGGTCTGTGAGCCCGGCTTCCCGAGTGCCAGCTGTGACCCCCGTTGGGGGCAAGGGCTTGACTTCTCTGTTTTGTAGGTGGTCATGGCAGCTAGGACCACTGTGAGGATTAAATGAGGTCACACGTGGTCACGATGGACCCCACTGTCACCAAGGGGCCTATGTGTGGGCAGCACAGCCCCTACCCCCATCCCGGCCCCTCTTCGGGGCAGCCCCGTGGTATTTCATCTTGCCCGGCCGTGCAGATCTCAGGAAGGTCTCTGTGTCCGGAAGGCAGTGGGGCCTCCCGTCCAGGCATTCGTTCTGGGCAGGAAGCATCAGTGCACGTCTGCCCAGCACCCACCTGAGCCTCTCCCGGTTGCCCAGATCCTGATCCGGAACCGAGCCACGGACCTGGATGCCCGCATGCACGATGGCACGACGCCGCTGATCCTGGCTGCCCGCCTGGCTGTGGAGGGCATGCTGGAGGACCTCATCAACTCGCACGCCGACGTCAATGCTGTGGACGACCTGGGTGAGCCCACGGGGGCAGGGCTGCGCTGTCGTGGGGCGGGGCTGCCATAGGGACGGGTGGGGCCGGGCTGCCTCCAGCTGGTCTCCAGCCCCGTCTGCCTCTTTCACACAGGCAAGTCCGCCCTGCACTGGGCCGCTGCTGTGAACAACGTGGACGCCGCGGTCGTGCTCCTGAAGAACGGGGCCAATAAAGACATGCAGAACAACAAGGTGAGCGCGAGGCCGGGACGCGACGGGAGACGCGGGGCTGAATCCACAGAGAAGTGAGGGCCGAACCCACGGGGTGCAGGGACGCAAGGGCCTTACCCACCGGGTCTCAAGGGTCCCTGGGCCCGCATGCAGGCCCCACCTGCACAGTGCTGGGCACCTCGTTAGTGCTCCTCCTCTCCTTCAGCCTCGGTTTACGGAGCCTTCCCAAGCACAGGTCCAGCTGTCGGGACACGGCGGCTCACCCCACAGACCCGGCCCTGCCCTCCTGGGCGGCAGTCATGGTGGGGCCCACAGCCTGGCGTGGGGAATGCTGCTGCCGCCGCTGCTCTGTCACTGTCACCTGGACCTCGCCTTCTGTCCCCAGCTGTCACCAGGTGGGGGTGGGGATGGGAATGTGGTGGCCCAGGTGGTGCAGATTGAGCCAGAACATGTGTGGCGCAGGGCGTGGCCTCTTGGTGTGAATGCGAGCAGCTCTTTATCCAAGGGGAGCTGCCCCCAGCGCTCATCCTGGCGCTGCAGCTCCTGGGTGAGCTGCTGACCTCAACGCTGTCGGGTTCCCCTGAGTGCTCAGGGCACAGGTGCAGACACACCCACCTCCCTGCCGCTCGAACCCCCACCCCCACCCCCAACTCCTGCCGCCCCCTTGGCGTGTCAGGCTAAGGCGTCCCTCGTGGGCGAGGGCACACAGCGGGCCTGGGCACCAGGGCATGTTGGCCCAGGCGCTTCCCAGTTTGTGGTGGCATGGCCTCATAGAGACTGGGCCCCAGAGGGCATCGAGGCTTGGGAAGCCCCTTCCCACTCCTACACAGCAGCCTCACCCAGACCTGTGATGTGTCAACCACACAGAGGAGACGCCGGGAAGGAGCTTGGTGGCCACCAGTGTGGCTTGGTGGCCGACTGTATGACGAGCTCCCTCTCTGGTGCCCTCACCGGTGCCTCTGAACCGCTCCAGTAATGTCCTTTTGTGCCTTGTTGGGGGCAGGGAAGAGGGCCTGCAGTTGGTTAGATTTTCAGTGGAGTCTGTGACCCCCGCGTAGAGGTGGAGCCCTGCCGATCTGGGATAGAGGACTGCACAGACCGCCCCTCTGGGTGGGTTTCAGAAGTCTTAACATTTAACAGGAATCAGGCTAGGTGGTTGCAGGATGCTGGGGCGGGGTCCTGAGGAGCAGCCTGCCTCCCCGCACCCCATGGAGGAGATCGTACTGCTGCTCCCTCTGGTGATGGAGCCTTGGGGAGGGTCCCCACGCCAGGCCTGGCCCCCCTCACCAGCCCCCACCCTCGTCCCCCAGGAGGAGACACCCCTGTTTCTGGCCGCCCGGGAGGGCAGCTATGAGACCGCCAAGGTGCTGCTGGACCACTTTGCCAACCGGGACATCACGGACCATATGGATCGCCTGCCGCGTGACATTGCACAGGAGCGCATGCACCACGACATCGTGAGGCTACTGGACGAGTACAACCTGGTGCGCAGCCCGCAGCTGCACGGAGCCCCACTGGGGGGCACGCCCACCCTGTCACCCCCGCTCTGCTCACCCAACGGCTACCTGGGCAGCCTCAAGCCCGGCGTGCAGGGTAAGAAGGTCCGCAAGCCCAGCAGCAAAGGCCTGGCCTGTGGGAGCAAGGAGGCCAAGGACCTCAAGACGCGGAGGAAGAAGTCCCAGGACGGCAAGGGCTGCCTGCTGGACAGCTCCGGCATGCTCTCACCCGTGGACTCCCTGGAGTCGCCCCATGGCTACCTGTCGGACGTGGCCTCGCCACCACTGCTGCCCTCTCCGTTCCAGCAGTCTCCGTCCGTGCCCCTCAACCACCTGCCCGGTATGCCCGACACCCACCTGGGCATCGGGCATCTGAACGTGGCGGCCAAGCCAGAGATGGCGGCACTGGGTGGGGGCGGCCGGCTGGCCTTTGAGGCCGGCCCCCCGCGTCTCTCCCACCTGCCCGTGGCCTCCGGCACCAGCACGGTCCTGGGCTGCAGCAGCGGAGGAGCCATGAATTTCACCGTGGGCGGGTCCACCAGTTTGAATGGTCAGTGCGAGTGGCTGTCCCGGCTGCAGAGCGGCATGGTGCCGAACCAATACAACCCTCTGCGGGGGAGCGTGGCACCAGGCCCCCTGAGCACGCAGGCCCCCTCCCTGCAGCATGGCATGGTGGGCCCGCTGCACAGTAGCCTTGCTGCCAGCGCCCTGTCCCAGATGATGAGCTACCAGGGCCTGCCCAGCACCCGGCTGGCCACCCAGCCTCACCTGGTGCAGACCCAGCAGGTGCAGCCGCAAAACTTACAGATGCAGCAGCAGAACCTGCAGCCACCAAACATCCAGCAGCAGCCAAACCTGCAGCCGCCACCGCCACCGCCACAGCCGCACCTTGGCGTGAGCTCAGCAGCCAGCAGCCACCTGGGGCGGAGTTTCCTGGGCGGAGAGCCGAGCCAGGCAGACGTGCAGCCACTGGGCCCCAGCAGCCTGGCAGTGCACACCATTCTGCCCCAGGAGAGCCCCGCTCTGCCCACGTCACTGCCGTCCTCGCTGGTCCCACCCGTGACCGCGGCCCAGTTCCTGACGCCCCCCTCACAGCACAGCTACTCCTCCTCGCCTGTGGACAACACCCCCAGCCACCAACTGCAGGTGCCTGAGCACCCCTTCCTCACCCCGTCCCCCGAGTCCCCTGACCAGTGGTCCAGCTCGTCCCCACATTCCAACGTCTCCGACTGGTCCGAGGGCGTCTCCAGCCCGCCCACCAGCATGCAGTCCCAGATCGCCCGCATTCCGGAGGCCTTCAAGTAAACAGCGCGCCCCACGGGACCCCGGCTTCCTTTCCCAAGCCCTGCGGGCGTCTGTACGCGATCTGTGGACGCCGGGGCCGACCAAAGGAGCCTTTTTTAAAAACGCATGTTTTTATACAAAATAAGAACAAGGATTTTAATTTTTTTTTTTAGTATTTATTTATGTACTTTTATTTTACACGAAACACTGCCTTTTTATTTATATGTACTGTTTCATCTGGCTCCAGGTAGAAACTTTTATCTGTTACAAGAAAACAAGCAAGTTCTGAGAACCAGGGTTTTCCTACCCAGGATGAAAAGATTCTTCCATGTTTATAAAATATAAACAAAGATTCATGATTTATAAATGCCATTTATTTATTGATTCCTTTTTTCAAAATCCAAAAAGAAGTGATGTTGGAGAAGGGAAGTTGAACGAGCATAGTCCAAAAAGCTCCTGGGGCGCCCAGGCCGCGCCCTTTCCTCGCCGCCCACCCAACCCCAAGCCAGCCCGGCCACTCCGCCAGCATCACCTGCGTGTTAGGAGAAGCTGCATCCAGAGGCAAACGGAGGCAAAGCCGGCACACCTTTGGCATGGATTAATTTGCATCTGAAATAGGAAACTGAAGTAAAAGGATATGGGTTAGATGTTGCGATGTGTTTTTAAATGGTTTTTTGCAAGCATGCTTGTGAAAATGTGTTCTTGGAGTGTGTATGCCAAGAGTGCACACATGGTACCAATCATGAATCTTTGTTTCAGGTTCAGTATTACGTAGTTGTTCGTTGGTTAAACAAGTTCTTGGTCCCTCCAGTACCGCCCCGGCCCCCTGCCCATTCTTGAAATGTAGGCATCGTGCATGTCAGACATGAGATGTGTGGACTGTGGCACTCGCCTGGGTCACACACGGAGGCATCCTACCCGTTTCTGGGGAAAGACACTGCCTGGGCTGACCCTGGTGGCAGCCCCAGCATCTCAACCTGCACGGCGTCCCCCAGGCTCCGAGGAAGATGCGCCAGCAACACAGCCTGGGGCCCGGCTCGCGGGACCCGACTCCCCGTGGGCTCCCGTGTTTTGTAGGAGACTTGCCAGAGCCGGGCACATCGAGCTGTGGAACGCCGTGGGCTGCATCCTTTGGTCCTGTCCCCGCAGCCCTGGCAGGGGGCACGCGGTCGGGCAGGGGCTAGAGGGAGGCGGGGGCTGCCCTTGGGCCACCCCTCCTAGTTTGGGAGGAGCAGATTCTTGCGATACCAAGTATAGCCTATGGCAGAAAAAATGTCTGTAAATATGGTTTTAAAGGTGGATTTTGTTTAAAAAATCTCAATGAATGAGTCTGTTGTGTGTCATGCTGATGAGGGACGTCAGACTCAGCTCAACTCGGGGAGCCTCAGCCGCCCATCACTGGGGACACTCCGCGCCGTGCCACCTGCTGCCCGTGCGCTGGGGACGCCTCCGCCGCCGTGCCACCTGCATTCCTCAGGGCAGCCTCCCCCGGCTCAACGGGGGCCGCGTGGTGCCATCCCCGGGGGCATGACCAGATGCATCTCAAAATGTTGATTTTTACTGTGTTTTATAAAATAGAGTGTAGTTTACAGAAAAAGACAGCTTTTAAAAAAGTGATCTACATGCGGAACTGTAGATGATGTATTTTTTTCATCTTTTTTGTTAACTGATTTGCAATAAAAATGATACTGATGGCGATCTGGCTTCCACTCCCCTCTGCTCTGGCCTTCGACTCCCTTTCTGGGAGGGAGGGAGAGCTGCTAGTCTCTGAGGGAGCCGGGAGTCGAGGGCCCCTTCTGCTGGGAGAGTGACGGTGAGGCTGCACCCACGGGGATGTAGGGACCATGCTGCCTCCAAGGGCTCCACGGTGTCTGCAGCCTGCCTGATCCAGGCCCTTTGTAGGGAGATGGACACACAGCAGCAAGGGGGTTGCAGCCCTATGGGAGGTGGGGCTCGTGCCTGCGGTGACACCCACGTGCCCCAGGACACCCACGAGTGAGGCTGGCCCTCCTGGCAGCTCGGGTCTCTTCTCTCAGCCTCAGAGGGATGAAGGTCCCACCCAGCCATCCTGGGGACAGCCCCTCAGGGAGCTCTGCAGCAGGCAGGGGGCTGCGTAGGGAGGGCCTTGAGGCAGTGGCGTGACCCCTCTGTGGGCTGGAGACCACAGGGAGGACTCTGGCCCCTACAAGAGGGCAAAGGGAGCTGCTGAAGCCTCTGAGCAGGGCAGCATGGGGCATGGCAGAGTCTGGAAAGTTCTATGATCCTAAGGGACCGGCTGAGCTAGACAGAGGCGGCCTGGTCCTGGGGTGCTGCCCTTGAGTAGAGCTGCCAGCCCTGCACAACGGTGGGCCCCTTCTCTCCCCACTGCCTGGGCCTCTGCCCGGCCCCAGACCTTCAGGGCAGGCCAGTGACTTCAAACCAGAGCGGTGGGGAGTCTGAGGTCCCTCTTTGGATTGCAAAGTGCTGCCTGCCCTGGGCCCAACCTCTCCAACGAGGGATGTGAAACTGAGGCCTCCACTATGCCTCGGGGCTGCGTCTGCCAGCCAGTGCTGGGCACCAGGACCAGGAGGGGCCACCGTGCAGTGAGTGCCCTGACTCTTGTCTTCAAAGTGGGTGGACCCAGCCGGAGTCCTGCCCATAAAACTCGCAGCACCTTGAAATTCCACTCTTGGGGGTCTGCCCAAAAGAAGTGAAAACAGGGACTCAAACAAAAGCACGGGGCCACTCACTCTCCCGGCAGCACTCGGTACAGCCAGATGGCCTGAGTGTCCACTGCCAACGACGGGTCAGCAAAATCGTCTGCTGTGACAGTGAACCTTAGTGTCAGCTCGGCCAGGCCGTTTCGCCAAACGGAGTGTGTCTCTGAGGTGTTCAGGATGAGGTTCGCATTTGCATCCACAGCCTGGGTGAGGCGGGCCCGCCCTCCCTGGTGTGGGTGGGCCCCGTGCGGTCCGCGGAGGCCCGGGGAGGACAATAGGCCGAGTGAGAGGGGTCCTCCCACCTGACCGCTTGCACTGGACGTTGGTCTTTTCCTGCCTTCAGACTTGGACTGAAAACGTGGGCTCTTCCTGGGCCTGGAGCCTACCGGCCTTCGGACTCGCAACGCCGTCAGGCCTCCTGCCTGCAACTGCAGACCCTGGGACCTGCAGGCCTCGAGGTCGCGTGGCCAATTCCCTGCAGTAATCTCTCCGGAGGCACGTCTTACAGGCTCTGTTTCCCAGAAGAACCCTGACGAATGCGCACAAGGGAATATGGTTCCACCGTAGAAAAGGAGGCACTGACACCCACCGTGCAGACAAGCCGTGGAAGCACCACGCTCAGTGAAAGGTGCCAGCCGCAGAGGGCCGCACGTGCAATGACTCCGTTTCTATGGGGTACCCTTTTGTAGATTGATGGTTCCCAGAGCCGGGGGGAGGAGGAAATGGGAGTGGCTGCTAAATGGCCCAGGTTTTTACTTTGGAGTGATGCAAATGTTCTAGACCCAGGGAGAGGTGGTGCGTGTACAGCCCTTCGAATGCACTAAATGCCAATAACGCGGACACTTTTTTTATTTTTTTTGAGACGGAGTCTCGCTCTGTCACCCGGGCTGGAGTGTGGTGGCGTAATCTTGGCTCACTGCAACCTCCCTCTGTGTTCAAGTGATTCTCCTGCCTCAGCCTCCAAAGTAACTGGGATTACAGGCGCCCATCACCACACCTGGCTAATTTTTTTGTATTTTTAGTAGAGATTGGGTTTCACCATGTTGGCCAGGCTGGTTTCAAACTCCTGCTCTCAAGTGATCCACCCGCCTCAGCCTCTTAAAGTGCTAAGGTCACAGGCGTGAGCCACTGCACCTGGCCTAACGTGTATACTGTAAAGTGGTTAGTTTTAGGTTCTGTGAATCTCACCTCAATGTTATTTTTTTTTAATTAAAAAAATGTTTTTGAGACAGAGTCTTGCTCTGTCACCCAGGCTGGAGTGCAGTGGTGCAATCATAGCTCACTGCAGCCTCAACCTCCTGGGCTCAGGTGATCCTCCCACCTTGGCCTTTCTAGCAGCTGGGACTACAGGTGCACACCACCTCACCCACCTATTTTTTTTGTTGTTGTTATTTTTTGCAGAGACGGAGATCTCACTTTGTTGCCCAGGTTGGTCTCGAACTCCTGAGCTCACGCAGCCCTCTCCTCACCTTGGCCTCCCAAAGTGCTGGGACTACGGGTGTGGGCCACTGTACCTGGCCATATATGCAACTTTAAATATTTCAGTAGCCACATTAAAAAGGTAAAAAGAAACAGGTAAAGTTTATGTTAACACTATAGCTTAATCCAATATATCAAAAATATTATTTCAACACAATCAATATAAAAAGTGAATGAGGTTTTGTTTTTTGTTTTTTGAGATGGAGTCTCACTTTGTTGCTCAGGCTGGAGTGTGGTGGCGTAATCTCGGCTCACTGCAACGTCCGCCTCCCTGGGCAAGTGATTCTCCTGCCTCAGCCTCCCAAGTAGCTTGGATTATAGGCGCCCGCCACCATGCCCAGCTAATTTTTGTATTTTTAGTAAAGATGGGGTTTCACCATGTTGGCCAGGCTGGTCTTGATCTCTTGACCTCGTGGCCTGCCTGCCTCGGCCTCCCAAAGTGCTGGGATTACAGCCGTGAACCACCATGACCGCCCATGAATAAGATGTCTTATATGCTTTTTTTTTTGTTTTTGGTACTGTGTCTTTGAAACCCAGGGTGGACAGTACACTCACAGCACCCTGGATTGGGCCTGCCACGCTTTAAAAGATGTTCAATATTTCCAGGAGGCTCATGTGCAGATTCAGACTCTTCAGCAGGATGCCAAGGGGGCTCCAGACAGCTCCACCCAGTGCAGGAAATCACCAAATGTATCTTCAGCCTGGCGACTCACTCCATGCCACTGCCAGCGTGAACCCCGAGTGTGGCGCCGCGTCCCTCTGGCCAGAGCAAAGGAGGATCCCAAGAGCCCTGAGGCACCGTCGCATCAGGGCCCATAAATCAGGCCACCGGCAGGCAGGGCTGCCTCCATCCAAGAGGGAAGCACGGGGCCGTAGCCCCCGTCCAAGAGGGAAGCACGGGGCCGTAGCCCCCGTGCAGGAGAGAAGCACGGTGCTGCAGCCCCCGTCCAGGAGGGAAGCACGGTGCTGCAGCCCCCGTCCAGGAGGGAAGCACGGTGCTGCAGCCCCCGTCCAGGAGGGAAGCACGGTGCTGCAGCCCCCGTCCAGGAGGGAAGCACGGTGCTGCAGCCCCCGTCCAGGAGGGAAGCACGGTGCTGCAGCCCCCGTCCAGGAGGGAAGCACGGTGCTGCAGCCCCCGTCCAGGAGGGAAGCACGGTGCTGCAGCCTCCGGGCTGCTCCAGGGATCGACAGGCC